ACAACTGCTTCTTGGTCCAAGTATAGGTTTCTCATTAGCACGATCAAGTGTTCTGGGATTCCCATTCTTCTCAGAGTCAGCCACAGTTTGTTATGATCCACACAGTCAAATGCCTTTGCGTAGTCAGTGAAACACAGATAGATAATTAATCTCCTTTAATATAATTAAATGTCTGTAGAAATCTGTTCTGAATTTGACTCCACAGGACTCAACATCATGAACTCTAGACTTCCTGGAGCTATGCAAGATTAGACCACTGGACTGTAAACCAGAAAGAATCTTTAAGCTTTAAGTGAAAAAAAAAAAAATAGTGTAACTAGTATGAACAGTTCTACTTCGAGCATGATGCTCTTTTTATTATTACTATTATTGTTATTATTATTACTATTATTGTTATTATTGATTGTTGCACCTTTTAGTCCCTTTCTCCAACGCACCCCACAATGCATTCCTTGTTCTAGGTTGGCATGATGCTCTTTTAAGAACTATCTATATGGGATCAAATTGTTAACAGCAGCTGAAAATCTAGAAAATTTAGGAGGCAGTGAGTTTATGTTAATGAGGAAGGAACAACCCCGGAAAAAAGGATGATAATGGTTGCACAACGCGGAATGTAATCAGTGTCACTGAATTGTACATGTGGAAATGGTTAAAGTGATGTATGTATGCTGATTTTGTATAATATTCTGAAGAATAGCATTTCATTCACTCACTCCTTTCTGTGGAGTCCAAAATGACTCATAGCTAACCCTTCACTGGGTTAGAAAACCTCCACTGGGTCTCTGAGGCTAAATAGGAAGAGAGGAGTATTGCCTTTCTCCCCTAGAGAAAACCCTGTAGCAAAGTTCTGCTCTGAAAACAATGGTGTGAGCAACTTGAATGATCCATTCTTTCAGGGCCTTGAGTGAAGGATTTAGCTTAACATGCCTAAGCCCTTTATCCACTCTCGTCCTGCAAATGGGTATTGAGTGTGTGCTGTGTGCCAAGCACTATGCCAGAAGTTTAGGATATGAACAGGACAGACTCAACTCCTGTCTGTACTCAGGGAAGAATGAGACTAACCATTCCAGGGGAGGAAAAAACCCCAAAATTTATGATGTGGTTGTTGTGTACCATAGTCAGAACCGACCCTCTTGGGGGTTTTCAGAGGCAATTAATCGCATGGGAGATTGCTCATCTTTTTCCCGTGGAGCAGCTAGTGGATTCGAACCACGTGCCTTCAGGATTGCAGGGTATCTTCTCACCACTAGACAACCAGAGTTGTAGCTGTTACGTTGTTGTTGCTTCAGATGGTTTGCCTCTTCGTGTCCTCGTCGTGCAAGAAGCTGGACTTGTCTCTATTTTACTGTCGAGGCTGCCTTCTTAGTAAAGCCCCCAAGGAGAAATGGCAGGGCCTGTTGGTCAGCGGGGCTGGTTTTTTCCCCTCTCAGTTTTGTTGAGAGACGTTAGGAGCTGGATACGGACTTTCCGGGAAGGCCGGAGAGTGCGCGCGTGGCTGTACTGGGAGGGGAGGGGAAGGCGCCCCTTCCTCCGCCCCCTTCCCAGCCCGGGCCGCGGCGTGGCGGGGCCAGGAAGGCCTGGGCGGAGTCGGCGTAGCCTAGGGGGCAGGAGAGCCTAGGGGGCCAACAGGGCAGGCAGGGCAACAGGGAGGGGATTCGCAAACGGAGGGCCACCTAGCTCGTTGGGGATAATGACCCCGCGACCAGAGGAGACCTCGCGCACTCCCATTCGTGAGTGAGCGCCCGCACGCCTCGCTCCTCGCTCCGGCACTGCTTCCACTTTCATTTCCTGGGCACCGTCGAAGAAGACGACCTCGGCCCGGCCCGAAGGCAGCCAGTCCGAGGTTTGTAACCTAACAGAGTTTGGGGATGGCGGTGGTTGAGAGGGGCGTGTCCGCGGGAGCAGAAATGTCACCCTGGCTCCAGGTCCTGCGACCTGTGGGACCCTGACAGCTGGGTAGAGGAGAATGGGGATGCTGAGAACCCAGCGGGAGGCCGAGTGGGTGTAAGTGTCTGAGTCTCTTCTCTACTTTCCTCTTGGGTCTTAGCCTGGATGGCATCTCACCACAGGGCACAGTCCAAGTTGAACTCTAGGTTTAAGCAGCGGTCAACCACTGGCCCAGACCCTCTCGCAGAAGGAAGGAGTGATAGCTGTGGCCTTAAAGGGGTGGGCTAAGATGACTATCTGGAAAATGAGCAAATCACTGGCATCTCTAGAAGTAAAAGAACACCCAGAAATAGGCACTCTGCTCAGAGGGGAACCAGCAGCAGGCAGAAAGAACAGAGGTTCAGTGAAGGACAAGAACTCTGAGAGCAAAGCCCAGGGATGGGAGTAGGAGGGGAGATAGGAGAAGACAAGTGCACGAATACCTCTAACCTTACATTTTCCCCCGGAAAGAAGACTAGAGCCCAGTATTTCACAGCAGGAAGGTGGGGCTCTAGCTCACTGGCCAGGCCACCCAAGTTGCTATAGGAGTGGGTTGAGGATGGGATGAGGCCCATGCAGAAAAATGGTCCTAGTCCTTTATTCATGGCACTGAGTCTTGTCCAACTTTGTCCCAGCTATACCTGTAACGTGTGTGACCTCAGGTTCTCCAGTTTCCTTTTTTGGGCTTTAGTTTCTCGTCCTGTACACACACACACAAAAAATGGTTTGAGATAGCTGATTTTTTTTTTCAGTGCTTTTCTAACCCTAAAATACTAGGTTTTTAAATTCTAGCTTCCTTGAAGCTTGAGCATTGACTTCAAGCCCTGACCTAAGTTGGTGGAGAGGTAGTAATGGCTAGAAAGCAGCCTCCCCTCTCCCCACTAAAGAAAAGGAGATTCAACCTAAAGAATGTGTAGTGAGGATGAGGGGTCAGTGAAAGAAACAGAGACAGGAAAGTGCAGTGTGTTCAGGGATCAAGATGGCCAAGGTAGTTAGTGGAAGGAGGTGGAGGAAAAGGAAAGCTAATGTGAGGTGTTGGTGCTAAATTGAAAGGTCTGTTTGCAATTGTCAGGTGAAGGGAACCCTGCAAAGTTGGGGAACCACAAATTCTATCCAACTTCAGTGTGAGTGATTGGAAACACATGCCACAAGAAGAGTTTAGAATAGAGGCTGCAAAGGGGCATGGAAATCTCTTTGGCCAGGAAACTTAGGTCCCACCCTGGAGACCTCTTAGAGTAAGAAGCAGAGGAGGAGCAGGGAGATGGATAAGATGATCTTCAGCATGTATGGTTTTTTATGAAGGAGAAAAGATCCTCCCCAAGTTAGCTTCATTTTACTGATTGTCCCCAGCCTAGCCTGCCTGTTGTGGATATGAGGAAGTACCTTGTCCTAAACATTTCTTCCAGACTGGTACCTGAAGTGACTCCTCCACTCCATTATACGCTGTTCCTTTGGTTAGTCGCATTATTGCCTTATGCGTACTTTCCTTTCTCCAGTCCTTTCCCATCGTTCCCAGCCATATGAGGAAAGATGTTCTAGTGTTAAGCATTCAGTGACAGATCAAGGTCAGACTTTGTGGCAATATTCAAGCTTCAGTCTCAGCTTAGGGTCAGGACTAGATCAGAGTTCAGTCTGGGATCCAGCCTATACTCTGGCTTAGTGTTTAGTCTGAAGTTAGAGTTAGTGTACTGTGTGTGGTTAAATTTCAATCTTAACTAGGACCAATGCCTATATTTTCTAAGAATTCATGGGGCAGATGAGATGAGGTGACTATCTTCAGGGTCCCAGAAATATGGTTTCAATTGGAGTGACTCAAGGGCTTGCATAGGCTAAACCCGTGCCTGCTTCAGGGGTCAGTCGGCAAATCAGTAGCAGAGTTAGGACTAGAACTTCAATTCTAAGACGCAAAGCACATTTTTCTGAGCTCTAGATTGATGTCTTAGTAGTAAGGAATTGTGCTGTCAACTCAAAGGCAGGCAGTTTGTATCCACCAGGTGTTTTGAGGAAGAAAGACAAGCAGTCTCTTCCTATGCAATTTATAGCCTCTGAAAACCCATTGGAGGGTCAGCCATGAGTCAGTTCTGACTCAACAGTACATAACAACAGTAATAAGAACAGACAGGCCCAGCTCAGTGGACCACTTGCACTCTGCTTTCACTAAGGGCCCACTGTATAGCAGATCCTCTAGTGTCTACCAGATGTTGGATGCAGGGGACTTGTTGGGATTTGGGGCCGCTAGAGGCTCGTTTGGGAAGATTTCTAGACACTGTCAGACCCTACCAACCTCCCTTTCTACCATAGCCACTCAGATGTTGAACAGCTGGCCACGTGAGGACCATTTCCTATTTCAGAGCATAAAAAGGAAAAGATATTTTTGGTAGAAAAGCCCCTTTTGCTCCTTGGGAATCCCCGGTAGCCGGATGAACTACGGGATATCCCATAGGAAGCTGAAGGCAGGCCCTTCATCCTGGCCCCCAACACAATGTAGTCCAGCTGTCATACTGCACCAGCTGGTCTTTGGGGTCTCCCAGAGGTCATCCTGCCCAGGCAAGCACACAGCCTCAACAGCCTCTATAAAGATCAGCAGCAAATCTACCATTTTTTTAACCCAGGGCCAGCACTCTGAGCAATAGGATGAAAACAAAAAGGAAACAAATTTTCATTTCCTAAACCAAGCGTTCCTGCTCTCCTCTGCCAAACCTCACTGTCCACCAAACTTGGTCTAAGTTTGGAAGACAGTGAGGTTTGGCAAAGGAGAGCAGGAACGCTTGGCTTAGGAAATGAGAATTTATATTCGGGGCAAAACATACAGAGTTTAACCAGACTCAGGAAAGGAGAAATGACATTGGAAAAACCAAGCCCCTCTGGTTAAGGCCCTACCCATGACACTCTCCATGTACCTGTTCCCAGCAGGGCATCCAGTGGGGGTCTCAGTCAGGCCATGGCCCTGTGTCTGAAGCAGGTGTTCTCCAAGGACAAGACATTCCGGCCACGGAAGCGCTTCGAGCCAGGTACACAGCGCTTTGAGCTGTACAAGAAGGCGCAGGCCTCGCTCAAGTCCGGCCTGGACCTGCGCAGTGTGGTGAGGCTGCCACCTGGCGAGAGCATCCATGACTGGATCGCGGTGCATGTTGTGGATTTCTTCAACCGCATCAACCTCATCTACGGCACTATGGCAGAGCACTGTAATGAGACCAGTTGTCCAGTCATGGCAGGTGGACCCCGCTACGAGTACCGCTGGCAGGACGAGCGTCAGTACCGGAGACCAGTGAAGCTCTCCGCGCCTCATTATATGGCGTTGCTCATGGATTGGATCGAGGGCCTCATCAACGACGAGGAAGTCTTTCCCACGCGCATTGGTGAGCGCCACCTGGCGAGCCATTTCACAGATGCGGCGTGTAGTTTGATATAGTAACTGTGAGGGGAGCATGATTTTGTAGAAGAAACTGCATCTCATAGAGGTTAAGTGCTTTGCTCGCAGTCCAGGATGGTAAGAAAGAACTGTCAGTAGTTTCCAATTGGTGACTCTTGTCTAAAGTTAGGTGTCCTCATAGGCACACCCAGCACAGACACTATATATGATTCTCAGAATCTCCAGGCCCCAAGGTGTTTGTAGCAGGTTCTCTTGCTTGGCCTGATCTAACTTCCAGCCTTCTGAGAGTTTGCTCTGATACTTATGTGCAGGAAGGGCAGGAGTTGAGAGGACCTGAATATCTGAGAGAAGAATGTTTTCCTTGTCAGGCACAGGCTATTTCTTATCTCAGCTGGGCAGCCTCTGTGGGTGGAGAGGGGAAAGGAGGGAAGTGATTCCACCCTGGCTCTGCTTCCCCACCCCAGGGAGCAGCAGGGGGTGGCGGCTGAGGAGTTGTGCAGGCATGACACTGTGTTCATCACGGCTACCTCGCCTGTACCCAGGGCCCACCCTGCCTGGTCTCATAGTGATGCATGGTAAAACTCCGGGAAGAGCTAGAATCAGAGATGGGTGGGGCAGGGTGGGCAAGCCTAGAGGGGAGAAGTCTGAATGCTGAGGGAAACCTGGCACTGAGTCACAATTCAATGCCCACAATTCCTCCCCAGCAAGTGGCCTGCCATTTCCTGCATTGTCATGCCCAGTAATGAGAATCTTCCTTTTACATGGGAACCAAGTGAACCCAAAAAGACAGTGGAATCTGAATTGAGATCTCAGGTCTCTTTTTCACAATTAAATGGACAAATCTGAAGGACCTAGGCCTGGCCTAAAAAGGCAGACAGGAAGATTGGGCTTAGTCCTAGCTGAGGAGGGCAGGCCAGGCTTTCCTGTCTTCTAGCCCAAATTCTCTGGGACTGGGAAACCCCAGGTGTCTGTATTTTGATTTTAGAATAACTGTGCCTCAGAAATGAAAGCATAGTCACCAAGATCTCCTAATCTTGCTAGAAGCAGAAATGGTACTTGAAGTTTCTCATAGGCAGGAAAGCTGTATAGTCTGTAACAGTCATATCTAAAGGGTACTAAAGTGTGGTGTAAAGAGGATTTTACCTCTGTCTTCATTCTTTACTCATTAATACTCATATGGCCTTGGGCAAGTGTTTATGTGTCTTGGTTTTATCATATCTAGAATGGCTATGATTAGACTCATTAGCAGGATTGCTGTAATTAGAGTCAAAGATGTGCCCAGCACAGGGCTGGGCTCAGGTGCAAGTTTCTTTATAAGAGTTCTTGATTATTTAAAGAAGATGAATTCTTAAGATTAGTGGTCTGAGACCTGCTATATGAATGATGAGAAGAGACGAGGTCCTGGGCAAGGGAGTCAGAGACAGTTGATGAAAGGCCTTAGGCAGGTGCTACGCAGTGAAGTTAGCTTAATCCTGAAGCCTGCTTTAAAATATTTTTAATGGACTTCATATATTCATGAACTCCCTCTTGATACTATCTGCAAAGATGGGATGTGAACATACCTGCAGATGCACATATTTCTGGGGATAGAATGAACCATTACTCTGATCATAGTTTAAGAAAGTCTTATCTATCAGTGACCTTCTTTCCCCCAAAATTGCAAAACCCTGCTTTAGGCAAGTGGAAAATGTAGAAGAAGGTTTTTTATTTCAGCAGGAAGAGTCAGATGTGTGTTTCATTAACAGGAAAGTGTAGAAGTCAGCAAATCACTATCTTCCTCTGTCTCCCAAAGGGAAGTGTGTTGAGAATTGGGGGAAGAGGCCATCCTAGGCAGAGGCAGCCTGTGGAGGGGTGGGAAGGTTGGGCAGCATTTCATTACCAGAATGCCAACTCCCCCCTTTTGTCCCACCTCTTCCCCACCCCAGGAGTTCCCTTCCCTAAGAACTTCCAGCAGGTCTGTACCAAGATCCTGACCCGCCTGTTCCGAGTCTTTGTCCATGTCTACATCCACCACTTTGACAGCATCCTCAGCATGGGGGCAGAGGCACATGTCAACACCTGCTACAAGCACTTCTATTACTTCATTCAGGAATTCAGCTTGGTGGACCAGAGGGAACTGGAACCACTGGTGAGGCCACACCCCTGATGTTTTTCCGACCTCCTTTACCTGGACCAGCTCTGTAGTTTTCAAGTCCAAAGCCTGTCTGCATCAAGAAAGTCCAGTAGACAAGTTTCTAGTTCATACATTAAATAACATGGATAGATTTAAGGAAGAAAATTTATGTAACTGTATATTCTCTACTTTCCTAAAGAACTTTGTTAAATTAGGAGAAAGCAACTTATTTAGTAATCATCTCATTTTCCTAGAGAATGTATTCAAGTTGTTGTTGTTGATGATGATGATGATTGCTGTCAAGTCGAGCATGACTCATAGCGACTCTATGAACAAAAGGCCTAAAGCCTTTCTATAACTATCGTCATTTATCAAAGTTCATAGAGTTTCCAGAGGCATGTTGTTTAGGAAGTGGATGCCACTCCTGCTTCCAAATGTATTCAAGTATCACTTTACAAATGTAGGTCTGGAGGGTGGTGAGTGAGTGAATGAGAGAAAGAGAGAGAGTGAGTGTGTATTTGTGTTGTGGGTTAGGGGTCCTGGTCCTGGTGGAATGGGGCAATGGGTTCCTTGTAGAAGGAGAGCAGAGTCAGGCAGAATTGCATCCAGGCCTGCAGTTTAGGGTGAGACAGCCTGGAAGGTTGATCTCTGACTGATCCCACTCCACTTTATATCTTACAGAGGGAGATGACAGAGCGGATCTGCCACTGAGCCCAGATTTGGACATTTGTTGCCCATCAGATGGTTCATCTGAACACAAGGTGGCAGGGGAAGGGAACTTCAGGAGGCTGGTGCTAGAGGACCCTGAAGGCCCTAGGACTTCCTTCAGACATCCAGAGTCCATGGACTCCTAGTTCTCAGCTGTCTGCCCGCATGTCCCTCTTATTGCTTGTGAATGCAGAAGGAGAAGAAAGAAGAGACTTCAAGTTGGTCAGAGAGAAGGAAACTCAACTCATTGCTGTTAAGTTGGAACCGACTCAGAGTTGACTCTCCAGTGGGTTTTCAGAGGCTGTATGTAAATTGCAGAGGAGAAGATTGCCCATCTTTCTCCCTCTGATTAGCAGGTGGTTCTAAATACCCACTTGGGGGTTAGCAGAACAGCTTCCTACACACTAGGCTGCTATTGTTGTGTACCATTGAGTCAGAACCAACCCATAGTTGACCCTCCAGTGGGTTTTCAGAGGTAGTTAATTGCACAGAAGGAGTTTGGCCAATCCTTCTCCTTGGAGCAACTGGTGGATTCAAACAAACCATGTGCCTTTGGGATTGCAGTGCAGTTTCTTACTATTGGGCGACCACCAGAACTCCCCAAAGAGAAGGAAACCAGGGGTTAAATCAGTGACAGTGGGAGTTGGGTAGGTTTCTTCCCCGTTACTTGACTCTTCCATAATTGTTTCTAAGCCAAATTTATGTATGTAATGTGACTAAGCTGATGACAAGAAAGGTGTAAGACAGTAGCCTTTGTGAATGAGCACAAATGACTGGATGGGGTGTGTATGTGTGTGTGGTTTTGACTGTGAAGTATGTCTGCCTTAGACCCTGCCTGACACATATCTTCCATAAGTGTTAGATAAGTGGATGTATGAATGAATGAAGAGACTAGAATCATCATGATCACTATAGATGTGATCGCCGGTCAGTGTACCTGCTTGGTGTATCTCATTGTGTTTTTAATTTCAGAAAATGTGATTATAGGTATATTGTTATGTTTTAACCTTCTAGGCTACCGTCTTTCATCAGCATGAGTCGTGGGGAGCTGATGGGAAATGGAGCCTGATTCTGAATACCTAAGTCCCTGGCTCACTGTAGACACAGCTTCTGATTGTCTCAGTCAGAAATGTTCATAAGCTTTCATTTCACTCATCCTTCTTTGCCTCAGGAAGGCCTGATTACAAATTGTCTTCTAGGAGTTTGATGCGATTCTTCAGATCACAGGGCTACCTTGATCCCTATATTGGGATCACTATATACACTTGAGTGTTTTCCCAGAATCTATAGACTTTGCTCCCAGGCTCTGGAGCCCAACATAAAATAATCATCTAGCCCAAGTTGTCAGTGGACCTTAGACTTAAAAGCTCCAGTCTTGTTTCCCATCTTGGGATACTGAGGACTGTGTAGCCAGTGAATAGTTTATTCCAGGCCTGGGGACCTGGCAGCCAACCTTCTTCCAAGCCACCCCTCAGACATTCCACCTAATTAGAGCTTAGAGTACAGCCATCCACAGAGAGACTGAGAAGTTCATCCAATACTGCATTGCTCTACTTCCCATGCCCAGAGTCATGAGCAGAGAAACCAAGGCAAGAACATGGTCTTACCATCCCAGAGTCTGGGAGTCCAGGACCTGAGATCTATACATAAGAGGAAACTGTTGGAGCCAGTAGAAGAAGAGGGGGAAGGACTATCTAAAACCATACAGTGATGCTTTCATGGAACTGGACTAGAAACTAGGGTTTTAAACCAGTTTGAAGCCCTACCAGAAATCAGGGGTCCTAACTTCTAGCCCAAGACCTGTTTATTGCCAAATGGAAACATGAGAAGGTTGCATAGTCCTTTTTCCAGACACAACTGTTCCTGCTTAGAGCAAGGATGTCTAGCCTGGTGCAAGAGTGCCCTGTTATTCTTCCATTACCCTGGGCTGGAGCCAAGCCTCCAAAATCATGTCTCTCTTGAGGACTGAGAAGCTACCTGCCCTCTAAGAAAACATATGGGACTCCTGGGATCAGCCGGCTGGAATTGGAATTGCTGGCTCCTGAAAAGTTCCCAAGAGAATGTTGCTGGTTTAGCAGCTTTGCCAGAGGCTCTGGAGTGAAGGGGTCAGAGCTTCCCCAACCTGGACTGTGGCTTGGAAGACGGATTCTAAGCGGTGGCCAGAGCTGACTTGGGGAAGTTGTTGTTGTTGTTATGTGCCATCGAGTTGCTTGCGACTCATAGTGACCCTATGTACAAGAGCTCTAAGTGCTGTTCTATCCTGTGCCAACCTAGCCATCTCAAATGCACTTATTCCCACCTCTCTGGTCACAGAATCGATCCATCTCATCAAAGGTCTTCCTCTCCTTCGCTGCCCCTCCACTCTGCCAAACATGATGTCCCTCTCCAAGGACCAGTCCCTCCTTGCAACATGCCCAAAATATGTCAGACGAAGCTTCAGAATCCTTGACTCCAGGGAACACTCTGGCTTCACCCTCTCCAGGACAAACCTGTTTGTTCTCCTAGCAGTCCGTGGTAAATTCAACACTCTTCTCCAGCACCACAGCTCAAAGGCATCAATCCTCTTTCTATCAACCCTATTCACTGTCCAACTCTCTGATGCATAGCACATAATTGCAAAGACTATAGCCTGGATCAGGCGCACCTTAGTCTCCAGCCTGACATTGTTGCTCTTCAGTACTCTTGAGAGGTCCTTCACAGCCGACTTTCCCAATGCAATTCATCTCCTGAATTCCTAGCTGCTGTTACCAAGACTGTTGACTGTGGAGCCAAGTAAATTAAAACTGTTAACTATCTCAATCTCTTCACCATCCATACTGATGCTGCCAATTGGCCCAGTGGTTAGAATCTTTGTTTTCTTGATGTTGAGCTTCGGTCCATATAGGAGGCTGTAGTCCTTGATCTTCTGCAGCAAGCACTTCAGGTCCTCCTCAGTTTCAACAAGCAGGGTTGTGTCATCTGCATAATGCAGGTTGTTGATGATTCTTCCACCAATCCTGATGCCACATTCCTCCTCATATAGCCCAGCATCTTGGATGATCTGTTCTTGGGAAAGGGGGAGGGGAAATCTATTTTTGTGACATAAAGGGAATATTTTATTGCTATTTTTTGTAAAATAAAGGAAGCAAACCCAAATGGTTACTCGTGGAAAGTTGTTATCTGGGTGCCACATGGCCCTTGAACCCGTATAAAAGGAACCAGGTCAGAATGGGGCAGGGAAGGCTCATTGTCCTGAAGACTGGACCATATTCACGGATGACTGATAGGGCTTCAGTGTCTCTCCAGGTTGGGGACTCGGATTTTTCAAGGGCTCTGGGACTTCTAGGCCAGGCTGGGCTAAGATCCCTGAGGTGGGAATGGCTACCTTTGTCTTCCTGGAGTTCAGTCTCCTGGAGGATTTGCCTTGTTTCAGCTCACGTCACTTAACACCAGCTTTTCTTGCCATCCATTAGTCTGGGTGATTTATTGGAGCTAATGAGTTAAGGAATAGGAAAGAAATACAATCCTGATCCTGCTCACAGCACAAGAAGAAACTGTTGAGTGCTGGCTAGAGTTCCAAGTAGTAGTAGTGTTAGTGTTACCAGAAAACCATGGTTCTGCTGCCAGGAGAACCAATCTTAGGGACAGGACTTGAGCAGGGGGCAGGAGGGAGAGGCTTCGTTATATGCATTCATACAGGAGACAGGGGACTTCCCAAATCTGTCTCTTAGAGACTGTGGGACTTTATATAGCAGAGGGGCAAGACCGGGCGATGTAAGAAGTGAATTCAGACTCAATGGCAATGAATTAGAATTGTTGACTACATATATAGGTATTGTAAATGGTTAGTTTTCTATTACTTTATTGTCAGCTACAGTAGAACATGGACTGAATTCTGGGCTTACCGCACAGAAGGCACTTAACCCCCCTTGGCATATGTCTTGTTACTCCTTTCCCCTATCTTATAAACTGCCTGGACAGGCGTTGAAAGCAGGGCTTCACACCAGTTCATTTTAGTTCAGCCTGATGAGAAGTGACATTGTCACCCCAGATATTCAGTGTGTCTGGGATGGAAATGCAGATTCTTAACAGGAGGTCAAATGAATAAACCAGCAGAAGCCTTAGTTGAAAATCCATGTAGTTCTGAAAAGTTAGCCAACAACTGCCTGAAGCTCTCCCCTCCACTGGCAAAGGACATAGGCTGCCTTTGAGAGAGAGGGACCTGGGTGACTATGGCAGACTTCTCTCTATATATATCATTCAAGTTCTCCATGTATCGCATGTTCATGTTGTTGTTTTGTTATGTGCTGTCAAGTTGCTTGCGACTCATAGTGTCCCGATATATAACAGCCCTAAACCCTTTCTCTATCCTGTGCCAATCGTACACCCATCCCGATTACCCCAGTCACTGAATCAATCCTCCTCACAGAGAGCCTTCCCCTCCTATGCTGTCCCTTCACCCTACCAAGTATGATGTCCTTCTCCAAGGACTGGTCCCTCCTTAACACATGTCCAAAGTATGTCAGACGAAGCTTCCAAGGAGCAGACCGGTTTAACCCTCTCCAGGATGAACCTGTTTGTTTTCTTAGCATTCCATGGTATTCTCAATACTCTTCTCCAGCACCACAGCTCAAAGGCATCAATTCTCCTTCTATCCTCCCTAGTCATTGTCCAACTCTGATGCATAACAAGTGATTGCAAAGACCATGGCCTGTATCAGACATACCTTAGACTCCAGAGAGACACCATTGCTCTTCAGTACTTTGGAGAGGTCCCTAACAGCAGACTTTCCCATCACAATATGCCTTTTCATTTCCTGGCTGCTGTTGCCAAGAGTATTGACTGTGGAGCCAAGCAAACTAAAGCTGTGAACAATCTCAATCTCTTCACCATCCATCCTGATGCAAATGACTGATTGATATCTGAGCTCTTATTTCCAGTCTGTGAATCAACCACTGTAGCAACAACAACAACAATTAATGTTTTATTCCACCTATAGTTCTAATTGCTTGACATAGAATAAC